AGCAGGAAGAGGTTGCAGATCTACACAGCGCTAGATCAAGATCAGGATCAGGCAAGTATTTAGGGGGCTGCTGAGGAAGCTACTATTGCAGAGAATACATTAAGCTGAAAAAAACCTTTTACTTTTACAACCATTTTAAAAGTGTTACTAAATAGAAGAAATTCACTGCATTCACTATATCTGGTCTCCCACGGTACACACAACATGAAAAAGAATTTGTTTTAGTCAATATAAACTGCTAAATACCTTTTCTCCCCAGCAGTTAGAGCAGTCTTGTGACTTCTGTCAGTGTCCAGCAGAGCACTTGTTATATCTTGTAGGAGGAGTTTTCATTCTGCTTTAGGATGAGGAACCCCTGACCTCTGTCTGGAAAGTGCTGATTGGTCCTGGGCTGATCACATGCACTCTCCCAAGAAAAAAGAAAAGATTCTCTAGCGTATACACCAAAATGAGCATGTGCAGAGTGACTCCACATGATATGTCTTATCAGAAGATAAGAGGGGGACACTGGAAGATGGGGAGGATCAGAGAAGACAGGATCAAACAGCCTTTTTATACAATGCAAAGGATTAACCACTTAGGTTCCACAGTGGGTATAACCAGCATACTTTACTGCATATACAGACTGATTTTACTGTTGTGGATTTAGCAACACTTTAACTTCTCCCTGCCTGTCAGTGTTAAAGCACACTGAGCCACACATGCAAAACACAGCGTACATTTACTGCACCACTCTGTGCTATGATGATGTGATTCCTGTGTGCATGTGTAGGAGTAACTGCATTAAGGCCCAGCCAATCAAAGGGAAGAAGAGTCAAACCTGGAAGGAAGACCAGGAAAAGGTGGAAATGCCTGTGACAGCAGAGAGCGAAGATAGTGCAGCACTGGAGGGGACTGCTTGGCAGATACGTCTGCCATAATTTGTATATTATGCCATAAAGCTCCCTGGGGCTGTTTTTAAAAGTTTTGTGGAGGTTTAATCCTGCTTTACCTTGCAAACTGTGTGAGACAAGTCAGTTGCAAATGATAAATACTTACAATAGGAATTCTGCAGCTATTCTTTTGCCCAATTATCCAATGTTCATTTATTACATAGTTTCTCTATGGAACAGTTCTTCTAGTACCAAGGCCCACCCCCTGATGACACAAGTTAGCCACCCGATAGACTCCCATGTAGAATAAAAGAGCTGATGTTGCCTTCACATCATCACATGTGCAGAAGTACTCTGCTGCTAATAATCTGTTAGATAATCAAACTTTATATTTTAAGTATAGATCCACTTTAAAGGGGAAACTGTGAAGGTTTTTGTTCAATGTTTTAATAATGTTTTTACCTTTTGATGAAACATACATTTTTAGGTTGTTTTATATTATTTAAATACAAGTTGCATCCTTGACAAACTGTGATAGGCTTTATACTGAGAAATCCCAGCACTGGCTGCATGCTGATTTGGGTTTCTTGGATATATAGACTATCTCAAACTTTGATAGAATTCCAAAAACTGGAAATGTTAAATATTAATTATTTATGTTCAATATTTCAAAGGAATAGGAAAGGAATAAGAAAATATCTGTAAAACATTTTATACTTGCGGAGATTGTGCATCATAGATCTGTCATGGTGGTGTAATGGGGAAATTGAGTACAGACATAATCAGACCCCTGTATTTTACTTTTTGTGTATGAAAAAACCTAGCAGTGGACTGAATTACTTTTTAATCTGTTAAAGGATAAGTTCACCTTTGAAAAAAAAAAATAATAAATGCACATTTTTTTTAGGTACTATTTATTTTTTTTAATAATTTTTTTTTTTAAGAGCCTGCAAGGCGTTGCACCAGCGATCAGCAGATCACTGCTGCCATGCAGAACTCCAGCAGACTGTCAGTGTAATCTGTCTGCCCATGCATCATACTTGCAGGCAGTTTCACACTGACAGGAAGAATCAATGAACTACCAGAGTGCTCAACAGCACCGTGGTAGTTAATTGAGAACTACAAGCTGACATCCGCAAAGGATGCTGGTACTTGTAGTTGACTAATTCACAGAATTCGGTGGATGAATGATGTGGCCGTGTGGGCGAAGCACTTTTGAAAAAGTGACAACTAGTACAGGGAACGTCTCTCCGTACTGCTGTCACACAGAGGGCTTGTATTGCCAAGCCACTGCAGAAGCGGAAACATGTTACATGTTCTTGAAAGTGAACTTATCTATTACATACAAAATTTTAATTTTTCTGTGTTCAAAAAGTACAAAAAAAAGAAAAAAAAAAAAACAACGGTTAATCCTGAAAGAAAACATGAGCTGGAAACTGGAAACTTGAGCTCTCAGTGTTGTACTCTTTCCAGTTACAGTATCTCACAGAAGTGAATACACCCTTCACATTTTTCTAAACAGTTTATTCCATCTTTTCATGTGACAACACTGAAGAAATGACACTTTGCTACAATGTAAAGTAGTGAGTGTACAGCTTGTATAACAATGTATATTTGCTGTCCCCTCAAAATAACTCAACGCAGCCATTAATGTGTAAACCGCTGGCAACAAAAGTGAATACACCCCTAAGTGAAAATGTCCAAATTGGGCCCAATTAGCCATTTTCCCTCCCCGGTGTCATGTGACTCCTTAGTGTTACAAGGTTTCAGGTGTGAATGGGGAGCAGGTGTGTTAAATTTGGTGTTATCGCTCTCACTCTGCACTGGAAGTTCAACATGGCACCTCACGGCAAAGAACTCTGAGGATCTGAAAAAAAGAATTGTTGCTCTACATAAGGATGGCCTAGGCTATAAGAAGATTGCCAAGACCCTGAAACTGAGCTGCAGTACGGTGACCAAGACCATACACCGGTTTAACAGGACAGGTTCCACTCAGAACAGGCCTCACCATGGTCGACCAAAGAAGTTGAATGCACATGCTCAGCGTCATATCCAGAGGCTGTCTTTGGGAAATAGACAAATGAGTGCTACCGGCATTGCTGCAGAGGTTGAAGGGGTGGGGGGTCAGCCTGTCAGTGCTCAAACCATATGCCACACACTGCATCGAATTGGTCTGCATGTCTGTCGTCCCAGATGGAAGCCTCTTCTAAAGATGATGCACAAAAAAGCCCGCAAACATTTTGCTGAAGTGAGGCAGAATAAGGACATGGATTACTGGAACCATGTCCTGTGGTCTGATGAGACCAAGATAAACGTATTTGGTTCAGATGGTGTCAAGCGTGTGTGGCGGCAACCAGGTGAGGAGTACAAAGACAAGTGTGTCTTGCCTACAGTCAAGCATTTTGGTGGGAGTGTCATGGTCTGGGGCTGCATGAGTGCTGCCACCACTGGTGAGCTACAGTTCATTGAGGGAAACATGAATGCCAACATGTACTGTGACATTCTGAAGCAGAGCATGATCCCCTCCCTTTGGAGACTGGGCCGCAGGGCAGTATTCCAACATGATAAACGACTCCAAACACACCTCCGCCCACAGCCTTGCTTAAGAAGCTGAGGGTAAAGGTGATGGACTGGCCAAGCATGTCTCCAGACCTAAACCCTAATGAGCATCTGTGGGGCATCCTCAAACGGAAGGTGGAGGAGCGCAAGGTTTCTAACATCTACCAGCTTCGTGATGTCATCATGGAGGAGTAGAAGAGGACTCCAGTGGCAACCTGTGAAGCTCTGGTGAACTCCATGCCCAAGTGGGTTAAGGCAGTGCTGGAAAATAATGGTGGCCACACACAAAATATTGACACATTGGGCCCAATTTGGACATTTTCACTTAGGGATGTACTCACTTTTGTTGCCAGCTGATAAGACATTATTGGCTCTGTGTTGAGTTATTTTGAGGGGACAGCAAATTTACACTGGTATACAAGCTGTACACTCACTACTTTACATTATAGCAAAGTGCCATTTCTTCAGTCTTGTCACATGAAAAGACAGAATAAAATATTTACAAAAATGTGATGGGTGTACTCACTTCTGTGAGATACTGTATGTTGTTCCCAGGTACAGTATTCTCTGTGAATGACAAAACAACTCCTCTATATTATGGGGAGTAGTGCCACTACTGTCCATAGATAATAATGGCTTTGCTGATCTCCAGGTCATTAATAGTAAAGTCAGTATTCTGGCCTTGATGACACAAGACAAACATGGCCATTATATTATGCCGATGCATGCACACTACTGTCACCACTACTGCCTGTCTTTAACGAAATATTTTAACTGGAGAAGTGTCTCAGACCGGTAAGTATGGATTATATTACTCATCTACCTTTGCTCCATGTTAGTTAATGACCTTAGCGACTTTCTCAATGTACTCTACATACATCAAGGGAAATTCAATCACCTCTCAAGTATTCTAAAGCACATGGTCGAATGTCCTTATGATCACGCTTATGAGATGCTAAGAGCCAGCCTCTTCATTACTGAATTAACCAGCTGAAACATAACATTCCCTGGTCACATAGGCTTTATCTATTTAGCTGCAAGCTCTTGTCAATGGCAATCTTCCAGTCACTGCTCAGCAATCAGCATCACATTGTTAGTGAATAGTAGGTCTGTTGTGATGAGCTGTTATAGGTGTCACTAATTATAATTATTCAAGACAAATAGGAGAGCAAAAACAACTGGGGTTAATAATTTAACTGCATTTATAAATGACAGCAAAAGCTCACAAAGCATAAAATTCAAGTGTTTGTCTAGCTGAAGTTTATTTTTATTTTTTATTTTTGCAGAGTGGGAAAGAAATAAAACCCCTGTGAGGTTTACACTGCTAGAACGGGCTCTACAGAAAGATTGCACCAGGCTGGAAGGACATAAAAAATCACGAGCAGCAGGCTTACTTCGAACCTACTGTGACCTGGGGTAGCTAGCTCTTGTGGTAGATGTGTTGTTTTAGTGAATCCATGGTAAACAGGAACTATACTATATTGCCAAAAGTATTAGGACACTCCTCTAAGTCATTGGATTTAGATGTTTCAATCACCTCCATGGCCACAGCTGTACAAAATCAAGCACCTAGGCACGAAGACTGCTTCTGCAAACATTTGTGAAAGAATGGGTTGCTCTCAGAAGCTCAGCGAATTCAAGCGTGGTACAGTGATAGGTTGCTACCTGTGCAATAAGTCTATCCGTGAAATTTCCTTGCTACTAAATATTCCACGGTCAACCGTTCGTGGTATTATAACAAACTTCATGTGGCCTTCAGATTAGCACAACAGTGCGTAGAGATCTTCATGGAATGGGTTTCCATGGCCAAGCAGCTGCATCCAAGCCTTACATCACCAAGTGCAATGCAAAGCATCGGATGTAGTGATGGAAAGCACGCCGCCACTGGACTCTAGAGCAGTGGAGACGTGTTCTCTGGAGTGACGAATCACGCTTCTCTGTCTGGTAATTTGATAGACGTGTCTGGGTGTGGCGGTTGCCAGGAGAACAGTATGTGCCTGACTGCATTGAGCCAAGTGTAAATTTTGGCGAAGGGAGGATTATGGTGTGGAGTTGTTTCTATAGGGGTTGGGCTTTGCCCCTTAGTTCCAGTGAAGGGAACTCTTAAGGCGTCAGCATACCAAGACATTTTGGACAATTTCATGCTCCTAACTTTGTGGGAACATTTGGGGACGGCCCCTTCCTGTGCCAACATGACTGCGCACCAGTTCACAAAGCAAGGTCCTGACCTCAACCCGATTAGTACTCCTTTGGGACGAATTAGAGTGGAGACTGCGAGCCAGGCCTTCTCATCCGACATCAGTGCCTGACCTCACAAATGCGCTTCTGAAAGAATGGTCAAACATTCCCATAGACACGCTCCTAAACCTTGTTCAGCCTTCCCAGAAGAGTTGAAGCTGTTATAGCTGAAAATGGTGGGCCAACTTAATACTGAACCCTACGGTCTAAGACTGGGATGCTATTAAAGTTCATGTGCGTGTAAAGGCAGGTGTCCCAATACTTTTGGCAACAGTGTATTTTTAAGGGCTTGGTAGCCCACTTTTATTTAAAAGAAAGCGAAAGTTCACAAACAAATGATTTCCCTCGCACGGGATCTTCTCCAACTTCAACAGAAATCCATGCACTGGAAAATGCTGAGCCGCCTGGTTCATAGGTTCACTCAGCTTCGACTGCAGTACCTCTCCTGGATACTTGGCTCTCTATCCTTTAGATGCAGCACCCTGCTTTGCGGGCCAACTCTGGTGTATGGATGGGGATTCTCCTGACACCCCAAAAGAAGATGACCTGACTCTTGGAACTGAGACCTCTGTCTCTTGGCTTCTGGCTGGATCTTCTAACCCCTCCATGAGACCTTCCATTTCCCCCCATCGGGAGCCGTCTCCAACTAGGAGCCCTGAGCTATTCTCAGACCCGAGTATGTAAGGACACATAACACCTGTGTACTCCAGATTGCAGGTGTCTAGCAAAACCCAGACACATGATTGAATGTTCCGATCCAAAGAAAGCCAAATTCACAGCTTTCTCTGCCCAGAAACATTAGTATGGAACGTTGCATTCACCCTAAATGAGAATCCTGTGTCACATTTTCCTATCCTCTCACAGTGTCAGGGTCTTGTTCAGTCCCACTACTTTTAAATTTAATACTACTCATCCCACTATCTCAGCAACCCTTCAAGTGTGGAAATACTTCCTTAAATCACAAAGTCCCCAAGAACATTGGTATCTCTATCGTTGGACATATTTAGATTCCTCAACCCACACACCTCCTTTAAACATTGGCCCGCTGTACATATTTATACTGTTGATGATATACTCTAAAATGGGAAACCTGAATACCTTGAACAACTTCACACATCCCTCTTCTTTCCCAATCATCTTACTTTCAACACAATTCTATCTCAACTCTTGAACTAAACATACAAACATGAAGATTTTCATCTGTAGCAACAACTAAGATAAAGGGCATAACTATCATTTATAATGTGCTTCAGTCTAAATTAATATTTCATAAATCTTCCCTACTACTTAAATGGGAGAAGGAAGTCCACTCCTCACTTTCCAACACACAATGGCAGAAGGCCATCACTTATAGCTATGTATATTCCAAATGCACTACCGATTGGATGTCTCAAAAAATTCACTTGAGATGGTACAGTATATGACACCTTATACAGTGACCAAATTCGCTACCTCACCAGATAACACTTGCTGGAAAGGTTGTGGCTCGATCAGTACCTTGATACATATGCCATGGTCCTGTCCACATCTTCACAGCTTTTGGAGAGTGGTATTTAAACTGATTTAATCAACTATAGGGATTACTTTAAAGCCTGACATTGAACTCGCTCTTCTTAATATAGGAGCAGAGAAAATACCTGTGGATCTAATACAAGTCACTATGCATGTTTTGTTTGCACCCAGGCTCTCCAAAACTAAAAAGTTGACCTGAAAAGCTTATGGCATATACCCTGTACCAAGCTGATAAACTCCACATAAATTGGGCCACTTGGGAATCCTTCTTAAAATTAACATGAGTAATAGGAATGTCTACCACGGTTTCCTAACCTGTTACTAATTGTACTTACCCTTGAACAGTGCAGTACGTACCCTTTTTACTGCTACTGTCTTTGTTAATGTTTCTTTACTGTTTTCCAATATCTATCTACATACGTTATATATATCTTAACTTCTATCAGGACTCAACAGTAGCGGTGTTGAAGTAATATGCCAATTGTATATGAGTGGGCATATATATACACAATACGTTAATATACTGCTGTGTTGCAATGGCTATACTTACTTACTTTTTGTAATTACCGCTATTATTAAACAAGCATTGTCCCATTCTACTATACACTGGTGAGTGTGGGATATTTTTTGTTTTAATATGTATAATATATATATACACACACACACACACACACACACACACACACACACATATAACTCACACTCCCTCTCAACCCGTCCCCTCTCACACAGCTACCCCCTCATCCCCCCTCTCCCTCGACATAACCCGCAGGGACTTCGTCACTGCTCAAACTCCCTCCAACCCCGTTCCCCCTCACTCAGCTACCCCCTCATCACCCCTCTCCCACGGCCCCACCACTGCTCTGACCTCCACTTCTACCCCACATTCCTCATACTGAAGCCCCCTCAACACTCTGCACCTTTGACCTTACTACCATCGAGGAAGTCTCCAAGGTCCTCTCTGATGTCCGCCTCACCACCTGCCCCCTCGACCCTATCCCCTCACAACTCCTACAACCTCCTTCCCCCTCCATCCTATGCTCCCTCGCCCACATCTTTAATCTCTCCCTCTCCTCCGGCACTTTCCCCTCCCCTCTGAAGTATGCACACATCACCCCCATACTTAAAAAGCCCTCCCTGGACCCCAATGACCCGAACAACCTCAGACCCATCTCCCTGCTCCCATTCACATCCAAACTCCTCGAGCGCCTAGTCTACACACGCCTAAGCTATCACCTCAACGACAACAACCTCCTCGATCCCCTACAGTTCGGCTTCCGTCCCCTACACTCCACTGAATCTTCCTTACTCAAACTCTCCAACGACCTGCTAACCGCCAAAGCTAATGGCCACTATTCAGAGCTCCTACTCCTTGACCTCTCCGCGGCCTTCGACACAGTCGACCACCCCCTCCTCCTCAAAAATCTACACTCCCTCGGCCTCAGAGATTCTGCTCTCTCCTGGCTCTCATCCTACCTGTCACAACGCTCTTTCAGCGTTACCTATAATGCTACCACCCTCCCCCTCACTCCCCCTCTCTGTTGGGGTCCCTCAAGGCTCCGTCCTCGGGCCCCTTCTCTTCTCCATCTACACCTCCTGCCTTGGCCAACTCATACACTCTCACGGCTTCAACTACCACCTATATGCCGACGACACACAAATCTAGCTCTCAACCCCCCACCTCACCCCCTCAGTCTCCGCCTGAATCACACACCTACTGAGCAACATATCAGACTGGATGTCGCTCCACTTCCTTAAACTGAACGTCTCCAAAACCGAGTTTCTTGTCTTCCCCCCAGTCCGGACACCACCCTTCATTGACTTCTCCATCATGTCCAACAACGCCACCATCAAACCTGCCCCGCAGGCCAGAGTACTTGGTGTCATTCTGGACTCCAACCTATCCTTCCAGCCCCAAGTCCAATCTTTAACAAACTCATGCAGACTCCACCTCCGCAACATCGCCAAAATACGCACATTCCTAACCCCAGAAACCACTAAGCAGCTCATCCACTCCCTCATCATATCATGACTCGATTACTGCAATTCCCTCCTTACTGGCCTGCCTCACCGCTGGCTATTCCCGCTTCAGTCGATCCTGAATACGGCTGCCAGACTCATTCACCTTTACAACCGCTCCATCTCCGCCACCCCCCCCTCTGCCAATCCCTCCACTGGCTTCCAGTTGCGCAACGGATCAAATTCAAAATCCTAACACTGACGTACAAAGCTGTCCACCATAATGCCCCGAACTACATCACCGACCTAATATCCAAGTACCGCCCAGCACGCACACTCCGCTCCACACAAGACCTCCTTCTCTCTAGTTCCCAGGTCTCCTCCTCCCATGCCCACCTCTAGGACTTCTCCAGGGTGTCACCCATCCTCTGGAACTCCCTGCCCCAACCCATCAGATTATCACCTACTCTCCTCTCCTTTAGGCGCACCCTGAAAACCCACCTCTTCAGGGAAACCTACCCCCCACCCCCTGCTAACTTGCCGACCTCCTCCACTCTTCCTACCACTCCATCCCCCACAGCTTTCTCCTCCTGTGCCACCATCCCCTCCCTCCTAGATTGTAAGCTTGAAAGAGCAGGGCCCTCGATCCCCTCATGTTTTGCATTGTATTGTATTGTTATTGTTCTGTCCCCCATTGTAATGTACAGCGCTGAGCGAACTATTGGCGCTTTATAAATACTGTATATATGTATGTATATATACATACATACATACACACACACACACTGTACACATACACACACACTGCTCAAAAAATTAAAAGGAACACTGTGAAAACACATCAGATTTCAATGGAGAAAAATATTATGCTGGATATCTATACTGATATGGACTGGGTACTGTGTTAGGAACGTAAGGATTCCCCCTTCGTTTGATGGAAATGAAAATCATCAACCTACAGAGGACTGAATTCAAAGAGACGCCGAAAATCAAAGTGAAAAAATGATACAGCAGGTTAGTCCATTTTGCTGAAATTTCATTGCAGCAACTCAAAATGGTACTAGTTTGCATGGACCCCATGTGCTGACAACGTCGGGGCATGCTCCTAATGAGACAACGGATGGTGTCTTGGGGTACTTTCACCCAGATCTGGACCAGGGCACCACTGAGCTCCTGGACAGTCTGAGGTGCAACCTGGCAGCGTCAGATGGACCGAAACATGATATCCCATAAGTGTTCTATTGGATTTAGGTCAGGCAAGATTGGTATAAATTCCTTCATCCTCCAGGAACTGCCTGCATAATCTTACCAC